CATTCACCACTGAACACTGTTGATCTTGAACTACTTTTCCTTCCAAGTCAGTAAAGAAGGTATCAATGCAGGTTAACTGTATACACAGGAAAGTCAGATATCTGCACTCTATAACTCAACTAATAAAATACATTTGTTGTTTTTGTTTGTGATGATTGGAGCTGAAACTAGATTACATCTGTAACTGTTGTATCTGTTTGGCACTGACACATTGTGTTTAACACAAGTATATGTAATGTCTTTTGTGAGCTTTCCAAGGGATTGAGTGACACCAGTACACCTGGTTTTGTATTTGTGAATGGAAGTCTAGCAGACAGACTAACTGGAAGTTACGAAAGCCCTCCTCTCTCTGGGGACTTTACTTCCAACATCTATTTTTAGAGCACTGCTCTGATAATTAGTGAAAAAGAACAGGTTTATTTTGTTCTTTTCCGATACAGCTGTCACTGACATAGCCATGAGTCAATGGTTTTTTTTATGTACAAAATGATAAGTCGTTTGTGTACACTCTTCAATTCTCTGGAACTGAGGTGCATATTTGTGCGATTACTGTAACCTCTGCTCACTGATATGCTCCGAAAAAAAAGTTCTTGTTTATATACTTTGATGTTTTAGTTTAAAAGCAAGCTATGAAATCCATCATTCCAGTCATTTGCAGCCCATCTGCACAGCCTCCAAAACATTTACAACCAAACAGAGACGAGATAAAGGGAAAACTGTGATATCAAACAATGACACAAACAACAAAAGACAAATGTATACGAGTCAGATTGCACAAAAAAAGAATATAAAGCCATTATGGTACTTTAAATCTTTTAAAGTTTGTTCCCAAACTAGCATTGAGAAGACACAATATAAAGGTTGAGACAATGATTTGAAAATCTGCTGGTTACTTTGTCTTTATCCAGAATTGACCTTGTACAAAAATAAAACTGACACATTTCATAATTACACATTGTCTCATTGTTGTGTTCATAATAGATGCACTGATGTCACTGACAGGCATCATATCATTAGTTTCTGGGGAAAAAGTGGTTATCCCTAAATGTACTGATAACCAGGACACTGTCAGGGTTTGGCTGAAAGTGTGTGTTTGTGTGTGTTTGTGTTTGTCCCTGAGGTGTGTTCATCTTTCTGAACAGCTCTCTGTGGGAGATGATGTGTTTCTGAGAAGTGCCCGCAGATCTTTCCATAGAAACAGAATGAGAGGGCAGTATCTATCCGGGACCACCTGTGGATTTCACTGTGACTTCATTTCTAAATCTTAAAACAAATTAACGGAGAAGACAAACACCCTCAACGAACCCTGGCCTTGTTGTGCCTCTGACCGTACTAAATAACAGTTTAGACACTGAAACTCCATACTGACAAATATTAAGATCGGAGATAAAGTCTCCGATATTTATATTAAATTATAATTGTTTCTAATGTAATGCAAGCACCTATAATCGATATCTGGGAGGCTAAAATATACTTTAAACTATTTAAGCATCTTTAAATAAATATACTAAACTACATACATACTGTACAGTATACCATATGCTTCTAAGGGCATATAGTGGTTCATTTTGTATCTGTACCTGTTTATTCAGGAATCACACAGGTCATTTAAAAATAAAATTAAACTTTAATACTTTTGCCAATTGCCGGATGATATTCATTCTTTAATTAGGAAGCAGTTAATTGCAATTTGCCTCAGATGTGTGATAAACCACTCATCAATACTCCAATTGTCTCCTGCTCTTCTTCGATGGATGGCTGAGGGAGGGCAGACATAGGGTAGAAAGCGAGGAAGAAGACAGAAAAGTGTATCAACAGAGTAAAGACTGTAACAGACTCCTGGCAGCTGCTGTATTTTTCTCCTGGGGGATTAGCTGAGGTTTCAGGGTGACTGAGAGGACACAAAGCTGATAGCTGTAAAGATGGACATGTTGTCTAATTTTCAGTGATAACCAAAAGAAACTCATATGTCATATGGACAGACTTGGATGCTGCAGAAGTTATACAAAGTTCTGGTAATGTTTGTTTTCATATTTTTTCTTAAAAACTGTGATAAAATATGAATGCTCTGAGTCTTCAGGGACCAATGTTTTGAGTACCGGAAAACAACATTCACAATGGAATTTTCTTTTAGAAAAAAATATAACAAGTTCAGCCCTTCTTTGATTCCTTTGACAAAATATCTATTTCTCACCACTGTAACTACTATTTCCCTTTGGCAAACTGTGTTCAAATACTTACTCTAACGCAAATACAAAGGTTACAAGTCTGCAACAACAAGTTCACTGCAGCCAAGATAATATTTATCTAACCCTAATCCTACCGTTACCCTAATCCGTTTTGTTCAGCCAAATAATCTCCACATGTCTACTCTGCTTTTATAATTTTCGAATCATAAATCGGCAGAAGTGAAATGCTAACATAAATATGTAAATATTTCATATTATAAAAGTTAGAGTATATATTTATACAGTGCACTCCGCAATAGCGCCACCTATAACATATTAGAAATGTGGGACCATTGGGCTGTGGGAACATAGGGTGGATGACCCCCTCTAATCTAGCGACTTGCCACCGTTAGTTTAGCAGTTAGCACAGACACGCTTAACGAACTGATATTAAATGAAAAATGTAAGTTGTTGCTTTCAGTTTTAGTTAAACCGGCTAACATTTTCTGCTATTCGTCGAGACTCTTCCCTCTCTTCCGTTGTTTCTTTCTCTTGCCCTCTTTCGTTCTGAGCTACCATCCAATTAGCACAGGTGACACTGACTGATGCTAAAGCAACCAATCAAACAAAAATAGAGCAAAAATAAACAGATTGCCCTTTAGTGACTGTACTAAAGGGCAATCTGTTTATTTGTATTACCCCAGTTTGCCCAACTTTTTGCCTTTAGTATTGTTTAGATCTGTTCACTTGTATTAAACTATTTTACAACCTTTCTTGTTTATTCATTTGTCTCAATAAACATATATATTTTTTTAACTTTATAAATAACTTGTTTAAATGCCTTACTTTTGTACTGGGGCTATACTATATAATAATTATACCAATTTTCCAACCTAGATAAATCTGTTATATTATGATCATGTACATAATGGCAGGTATTGCACTTTGCGCATGCTAAGTCTGACAGAAATTGTATACAGTTCTACGATACACCTTTTACATTGTGGTGGTGCAAGATTACAGTCAATGAATCACCAAAGGATTAGTATGGAACTATTAAAGTTAATTTTACAACAGTTGTTGCAATATTTCAGGCTGGACCACAGTTGTTTAGATATTGCCATATAGGCTATTGAATTGTGTCTGAAACAGTTGTATTCAGGGTTCATAGCAGCAGGTAAATAAATCCAAAACACTCCAGCAAGTCATTTGAGTTATTTTATTGAACAGAAGAAAAAAAAACAACTCAAAACTAGTGTGTTAAAATGTGTTTCATGTTAAAGCATTGTAGCTCATCGCTAATAAAGTGCACTTTCAGTTTACAACCAAATGGAGACTCCAATTCATATCCTCTTTCCCTTCCCATGAGCTCAATCATATCCCACCTGATGCAGGACTCTGCGCCAGAGCTATCCTCGGCAGAACACTACCACAGTAAAATATATCAGACCAAGTGCAATGACTGAGCGTCTCAGTGAGGACGAGTGCATAAGTGTTAATGGAAGATCAGCAATTCTCTTTCCTCTCACCCGAGTCTAAAAATGTGTCAAGACTATACCTGCTACCATTTCCTATCTGGGCTCAGTTCAACCAAGAAAAAGTAATAATAAGAAAGTTGACTTCTTCACAAATATGATTATGCAATCGAGTGATTGTAAAATAGCACAGTAGTTCCTAACAGTGTTTCAATGATGGCCAGCGTCAAGCTTAAATCTTGAGTGTCTTTACATTTTAAGATCTTCACTTTAAAAAAATATTTTCTTATTTCCAGAAGTATTTTCTACATAATATATATGTACAGTTGTATCTTTACAACGAAAATAATGCTTTGTTCAAGACTGCAAGGTCAGTATCGACTCCAGTTTGGCACATGTTTGTGATATCACCCAAAAACAGACTAAATGGAAGAGACAGAAGAAACAAGCGCATTCAACACCCAGTTTCACTTTAAATTCTGGCTCACCTGAACAGACGGACACTAAACTAGCAAATCAATCCTTTCCTCTAACTCTAATTTAAAATGATATGGATATGAAATGGTAATTCTGCTTATGTGCAGCAAATAGGAATGCAATTCATATGAAAACAAGTTGTTTGATGTCACTACAGGGTATGGCCATAAACCCTGGGCCACTGAGAAAAAACATCGACAATACAAAGGATATCATATGAATCAACACTATTGAATTTGACTTCTATGTAGTTTAGGATTAAAATGTGCTACACATGGGCATGGCAGCCACAATAAGTCAGAGACCAACCAAGACAGAAGTGCTAAGCTGTAGTTCAACATGTGACATGAAAAGACAAAAGAAGACATTTTTGAAGAAGAATAGAAAAACAAAGGGATGCAAGAACATCCCTGCAGGTAGTGTGCATTTCACATGGTGAAGGGGCAAATTCACTTTGATATCAAAAAGCACATATAAACACAGCACTGGAAAATAATCAGCGGCTAAGAAACACATCTACTACTAACATTTACATTTCATTAATATCAGTTTCACTGGGAATTTCCACATTGGGTAACCTCACCTCTTATTGCACTGTTTTCAATATTTGCTGTCAATCAAAAAGATTGGGCAGTTCTGGGTTGTTTCTCACCTTATACGTCTCATATTTTTATTTACCATGCAAACGGATGAAACCACCATTCATCTGCAACTTAGTAATTATTTATCTATTATATCATTCCAATAACTTGTAGACTCTCATTGCACTATTCCACTTTTTTTGTTCTCACTAAAATTATTTTTATTTTTGTATTACTTTTAATATAGTATATTTGAATATTGTCTGCTTATCTGTATTATTGTGTTGCATTGTTGGAGAAGCCTGTGACCTAAGATTTTCGATGACATAATTACTCTGTAGCTATGTTAGTTTGACAATAAAGAACCTTGAACCCAAATTGTTTTTGGTGCAGTCCTATAAAAGTTGTGTAACATACACCATGTCCTTCAAATTGAGTTTAGACTATGGGTCTTAACATAAAAAGCTCTCAGAGGAGCAATATTACACAAATACCTTCATTAACTACCTTTCTGCATTACAAATAACAGTAATAAATAAGTACAAGTAGAATAAATATGACTTTTTGTTCAGAATACAAATTATAAAGATTCAGCTGACTTCAATGTGGACCAGTCTGACAGAGAAACAGATTTCCTTTCTTGTGTAGTGTAGGAGGATTAGGCTCAGGTACATTTTATGTTAATTGTGGAGTTGCAACAGCAGGAATAGTGATTCTATATTGGGCCTCTTCCTTATCAGCATTTACACCTGAAGTTTAGCTTTTGAGTTCTATCTAATTAATGCTCAGATATTGCTTCAAAGCCATTACTAATGCATGAAACCTCTCCATGAGCATTAAACAGTGTTTGTCTCCAACTTCATTCGCTTTACATGCATCAACCATGGACATAAAGCTAAACAAAGAACTAGACAGTGATGGGAAAAATAGCCCATATTAAAGGAATAACAGTGTGTGGGGGACACATGAAGACCTTATATACATAGAAATGATATAGCACCATTTTTGACAGCCTGACCCTTCACCCCATCGTGTTCCTGATAGAGAATCACCTTTGCAGATCTTCACTGAGCATCTGGAGCTCAATGTGTACGTAGAATCCATTTTGTTTCCGTCGTGCTGTTTTTTTGCTTTGGTTTTAAAGTGCAGTCCAGATGCAGGTGACTAAAAGGCAAGAAGCAAATTACAGGGGGAGAGAGAGAGAGAGAAGGATGAAGTGCAGTAAAACCCAGAGGATGGGGGTGGGACAGAGGATTGGCCCGTACATCAGAGAGGTCAGACTTGGAGAATGGGAGCAGGATGGGATGGAGATGGTGGGAGTCTGATAGGCTAAAGGTTAAAAAGAAAAATCCTATTTAGTCTCTCCTGTGTCACTGATGCAGCTCCAGTCACTCTCTGGACTGGTAGAAGAGGATATATCCCGACTCTGAGTTCTTGGAGATGTCTGAGGTAAGCCCGTAAAACTCTTCAATGGCCTGGGCATCAATTTTCTGCACAACACAGTAAGTAAGATGCTGGTAAGTGATAACAAAGAACAATAGCAAATGAACAAACAGATGAGTCAAGGACCATTGTAGCAGAACATAACATGCCGAGAGTGACGCACCTCCACAATGTCATCGTCAAACAGCAGCCAGAAGCCATGACTCTTCACTATGGTGATGTAATGGCCTCTGTTTGGACCACTGAGGAAACAAAGACAAACAGTGAGTCCCTGACGTGTGCACAAAACTCTCACTTTGAAAATACATCTGACTTCACAGATGTCACAAATATTCAATGTTGTTTAATTTGGATTTCAAGTAAATACATGTTACTTCAAAGCATTCTTAGTTTTTTCTATGAATAATTGTCCTTATTTTGGAATTCAGAATACATATTTAACTTGAGCATTTAATCATGTTTAGATCACATTTTAAAACGTGACTTTGCTTCACAATTTTGCGACGTGATTCCAAACTTGTGTTACGGGTTATGGAAGGAGGATGTCCCTTTTAATTATATAGAATAAAGAGATCATATACAACTAAACATGTATTACCCCTGCTTTTTAGAGAGAGTACCATCAGCTAAAACCATTTTCTTATGGAGATCAACAGAATTGAGACTGCAAAAGCTTGATGGAGCAAGCATTGTTTCATCTCAACACTTTACATGTGATAATTAGTATACTGTACCTGCCACAGTGAACCACCACAGCCACTAGATCGTACATGCGATCCAGGTTAACCGCATCCCCCGATGTATTGAACAGACGGAGCTCTAGGGGGAAAACTACTCGATAGGACAGCTTGGTGTAGCGGTGCAGCTGCTCCATGTACTTAAACCTCTTCAGGTGCAGGGCTAGGATCATAGGAAGCTTCTTCACGCGCATCCTGCAGAGAAACATACATGCTCAGAGAAGGGTACCATCACACATCACAGTGGTAATTCATCTCAGTGCCTTACTGACCGCTTCTGTGCTTCCTGCTTGCTGCAGCACGCCTCACAGTAGTATTTGTATTCACTGCACAAAGTCTCTGTGTTACTGAAGTCCCTAAAGGGGGGAGCATGCCACAGGAGGCTTGGTTATTAAATCTTATTCAGACCAAAAGGGAACGTGGGTCTACGGTCATCGAGTTTAACTGTGACTGAATGTATAATAAATCAACGCTACCTGAGACAGTGTGTTATGGATGTGTTCTGCTCCACATCCACAGAAAGATCCAGAAAATCTTCATCTTTGCTGCTCACCTGTCAAACAGAGAGAGACACTGAGGTAACTACACTGTCATCCTTTTTGACAGGATCAGTGAGGATAAGCCTGAAGTCCTGCAACACATCACCCACCCACCCGTCCATCCAAATACACACAAACAGTCTTTGAAATGCTGATTGTACTGAGTAGCTTTTGTCTCGGAGCACTACAGTGCCTTGGTGTTTGCAGAGGGTTGTTCAGGGCAACCCGTCCCACTCTTTGCCCATAAAACCCAGAGGACAAAGCCTACGTCAGCCCTGAGCGTGTGGCCGGAGCCCACCGGGTGTGATGTCTACCTCATTTCTGTAAAATAAAAAGGTTAATCCCTGTTTCAGACTTATTCAGGAGGGGATGTTAATTCAGTGTGACGCAGGGACAATATTAAATGTTCTACCTCTCCAGGAGAGCTCAATGGACAAACAGAGCAGAGCCACACACCGTTTCACAGTTGAGGCAGCGCGTCTCATTGGTCAGCGTGCCCTGGAAGATATCGTGAACCCACGTGGGCTCCGTCTTGTTCTCCGTGTCTGTCTCTGTGGTGACGGGGGTCCCGTTGTTCTTGAGGCGCCCGTTCTGCTTCTCCTGCTTCTTCTCCTCTTGCAGTATGTCGGCCACGGTGTTCAGCAGGTAGTTGAGGAATTCGTGGGCATCCTGTTGCATGTAGTTGTCAAACAGATCTGCAGGGAGATACAATTCATGGAGATAATTAATAGAAAAATAATGGGGATGTCCCAGGCAACTTTTTTGGCCATTGATCATGTTTCCAGCCATTTAATATTGATTATCGGCCCATACGGAGTCCAATGTTTATATTAATGTAGGGATGCAACTAAGAATTATTTAAATTAAATGAATATGCTAAACTGGTGACGTAAACACTTTCGACTGCTGATTGGTCAGAGAGAATCGCTGGAAAGGGGGCTACAACAACAAAAAAATGAACATATTTTACCGTGATTTAATTGTAATACACGTTTCAAAATGATGCCGAAGTAACAACATACTGATACCGGTTAGTAGAAACCATGAATTAATGCTTTGGCAAGTCTGCAGACAAAACGGCAGGCGAAAAACCTTTTAAAATGCGTGTGTGGAGATCGAATCGATCAGGCAAAGCTAACAAGGGTTCAAGGTTCTTTATTAGTAGCTATGTCCTAGTAGCTATACGAACATAGCTACAGTGTAGTAATGCCGATGAAAATCTTAGGTCACAGGCTTCTCCAACAGTGCAACACAAAACCCAGATAAACAGAAAAATATAGTGCAAGTAAATAGTAAATACAAAAAGAAAAATCGTTTAAAAAAGTGAAATAGTGCAAGAGAGTCTATATGCAAGTTATTGGAATATGATATATTAGGTAAATAGATCAATCATTTCTAAGTAGCAGCCAGTTGTATATGCTCCGTCCACACTCACAACAACGGCCTACAGACATAAATAAACCAGCGACTGTATTCGCCATGACACAGACAGTCTGTGGTTTGTACTCGTTTAACTTTAGTCTAGTTTCTGAACAGATATGAGGAGCTGTGAGCTCTGAGTGCTAACAGCTAACGGCTGATGTTTTGGTTTTGTGCTTCTCATTGAAGATGACGTCACTGCAGTTTTATGCAGCGTCGCTCCACCCGCCGAACAGCCGATCGCCCCCCCTACACTGTGTTACCATAGTTACTACCCCAGTAACTAAACTGTAATGGAAACGCAGCATAAAGTGAGCCTGGCCTACCAAGGCCTAACCATACCGTACTAAGCCTTGAGAGGTCCTGCAGTGGAAAAGCGCCATAACAGGGCTGAAATAGAGGGGCATGAGGCATGGCTAGAAGGGGTGATCTGTTTGGTATTTTGAGCAAAACAAATCATAGACATGTTTTTTATATATTTTTATATATAGCTGAGACCCATAATATATGCATAAAAATAGCATGATAGGAGATCTTTAAAGTATTAAGGAAATAGTGTTCTTGATTAATTATTAAAAACAACAAAATGTAAAATAATGATTTAAAATACATTCTGTAGTATTACAATACATCCACACACACTTCTGTTTCGACAGATCTGAATGTGAAAGGGGAAAGCTGAGAAGTGGGGAGTCGGAGTCGGGGAGAGAGAAAGCAGAAGGAAAAAAGTCCAGAGAGGAGGCAGCTGACCGAAGCTGGGTCCGAACAGAGATTTCATTGTTCATTCACAAAGAGCTTCCTCAATATAGACAGCAGAGAACAGTCAGCCTCTCTGTCAGCTCCGCTCTCTGAATGACCTTACCTCCAACATGCACATGCCCTTCACCTCAAATATTCAGAATACACTAAAGCCAGCACTGCTACCAACATACAATGCACCACCACAACCGCCCCCCTCTGTTTGGTTATGAACATGAATACAAGAGTGCAGATTTTCCTCTGATCCTGGGTTTTTGTTTGCAACATCTATTAACTTGGGTTATGTAAATGTATAAATGTTAGTGTTATTAGTTTCACCTTTTTCTGCCTTTCATAGTTAAACAAAAAGAAGCAGTTCAAATATGCATTGTAGTAATTTTCTAAGTGTTAAATCAAGGGATTCACTTCTAAATTCCTACTAAATATAACATCTGATTTTATGGCTTAATCCAAAAATCTAATAGTAAAATGTTGTAAATGTTCTAGTCATAATTTTCCTATCCACCTTTTTGACTGTAAACCCCTTTTTCCTCGTGCATGTCATTTCTTTTTACGATTTAATCTTTCACTATACTGCATATCATAAAGTTGCACCTTCTTTAAATGTAAGGCCTATTTATTGCTACCACCTGTGTGAAGATGGTGTCGACATAAGGCTTAGTAAAAAAACATTTGATTAGGTTTTCAGTTCCTATAAGATTTCCTTTACACCATCTGGGCTCTCACCGTTCTCTTTCCGTAGGCGGGAGATGAACTTCTTGGGCGGGATGACGCCCACTTTCTTCTTCTGCGTGGCAATAGAGTGGAAGAGGTCAGCCAGGCATGTGAGCAGGTTCTCCTTCTTCTTCTGCTGGGCTTTGTAAGACAGCACGTTCTCCCGGAAAGGCCGGCAGAAGTAGAGAGCCTGTAGCACTGAGTTACAGTAACATGTGTTTCCAAACTGCAGGAAGGAAAAAGCAGACACATTCAAAGATGAGGACCAAAAGGTATTTTCTTCCGTCTGTTTTTCTTTTAGATTATTGTTTGAACTAGCTGGTGAAAAAATACCGAATTGGTCAAATGTTTTTTAACAACTTGGCAAACATGTAAGGTGTTGAGAAAAGTGTGTGTTTACATGAATGTGATATTACAGACACAGAACATCCCTATGTTGGGCAACAGGCTCATAGACAACACCCTCACCGTCACATGACTCACTGAAGTCCCGTGGCAGTTTGTTTTGAAAGATGACACCAATGTTTTCTGGCAAAGCCCTTTGTTAATGTATGAGAGGCTTTAGTGATACTCACATTGACCAATCCGAAGTAGTGTTCATTGATTGGGAACTGCTCTGGGCCGATGTCTTTCTCCAGAGCAGAGGCATTGGTGCCCTGAAAGACAAAACATAAGACATGAAAACATGAGGGTGTTTTTGTTATCAGTTCTTCAACACCATCATCTCTCTTATCATTCAGTTCATATGGAAAGTAACGAGGCCAGAATGAAAGCCTGATTTGTTTAATGTAGTCTATGTACATACAGCCAAATGAATTATGTAAATGTTGGGAAGTCAACAAGCACCAACTGGTAACTGAGGGTTTAAAACTACATGCAGCATAATTGATCAAATGATCCTCTTTGCCACATTTCACTGTATCAGTTTCTTCAAGAATGTTGTAGCTCATCTCGATGCCTTTTCTCAAAACCCCCAAAACCTTCCCGTCAAAGTAGAAAAAGGATATGTCCTATATAAGTAGACCCATGTGAAAGGTCAAGAATATACAACCCCTGATTGCGGAGGCTCACCACTTATCTCTGGTCGGAGCCTTTTCACTTGTCAGAGCTCAAAGCTTTTCCAAATGAACCAAAGCTTTGTTTCGCGAACACAGAAGACAATTTAGTTTGGGGACGGCTTTGACTTTCAATGACTTTCATTTCTCCCTGTCAAAGCGGACAGTGAATACCTCTTTGTCTGATTTACCACGTCGAGTCTGAAAACAAGTCCATGTACTGTACCCATACAAACTGACTCTTTCCTTGTGGGACGTATTATAATGCAAACAACATGACCTTTATATTACATGTCTGGAGAGAGATATTGGTAATGCAACCCAAGTGGACCTGAAAGTCTATTCAAATCAATGCAAAACAAACTCCGAATAACTCCTGGTGCCACATTTTGAAATGTGAGCCGTTCGTGATAAACAGCAGGAAGTGGCATCATTTATTTCAAGGACAAAAATACTTTGTTTAAAAAACAAACAACCTATGCACTTTGGAAGAACTTGAACTTTGTTGGCAAAGCGGAAGACGCTGTGAAGAATCAAGACACCAACACACTTTCGTCCCTTGCTTTGTATCGCTTATTACTTTGTAAAGTTGGACACTTACAAAGCCTCACCTTCTGTATCGAGTGGATACATTTTTCTATGTGCATTTAAAAGTCTGAGAGTCCTTGGGTAACATATTTCAAATAGTCAAAGTAATACATGACAATGGAATAATTGTGTTTGCACTCAGGGGTTTTAGAGCTGGATAAACAGACTATAAGCAGAAAACTACATTTCTTATATTCAAAATATAACCATGATTCTTTTTATTTGTGTCTTTTACGCTCAAATAATTCAATAAAAGAATGTGGGAGAAAAAACCATTTTAGTCAATAAGCCATTTATTGTACTAGCAGTATACTAAAAACTGCAATAAAGGAACTGGTTACTCAGTACTATGTGTTTATTGAGTGCAAGAGATATTATTATTGCGATATTAAACAATGTAACGGCATATCCAATGATAGCTATTGAAGGTTTGTTATGAAGAGAAATACAAATATAGCTAGAGTTCAAACCACTAATACATCATACGTCTTTTTTTTCTTTTCAGTTGTCTACGATGGTAAACTAAATATATATGGGTTCCGGCCCGGGACTGTTAGTTGGGTCAAAAACAATTTAAAGAGGTTTCTTGGTCTCATTTAAACTAATGAGCATTTTCAATAAGAACAAAAACCAAGATAATGGTTTCTTATTTTCTTTGTCATAAATGGTAGAAAACCAAAGTATACATCATCTTGTGGTGTGGGAAACTATTACAAGTCTCTCATTTTGTAAACAGCACATTTATTTGATTAAATCATAGAATAAAGCAGTTAGAGTCCTCCTAACAAGAAGATTATATGTATGATCTTAAGCATACAACTCAGCCCTACCACTAACAGAAGCTAACTTATTGTACAACAAAACACTGGCTGTAGTGTAGGGGACACAAGCTGCATCCTTTCAATTACAGTACCACTTGTATTAACTGTTAATACGACAAATATCCACACAAGATGAGTTCATTCAACATTCACTTGTGTTTAGCAGTGCTGTAACACTTCTTCAGGAGGCATATCTTTACCAATGTGTCTGTTAAACTCACAATAAACCCAAATATATAAAACTTGTTGTGCTTGGGATGCTGGGTAATAACTCTTTGTTGTGGGGGCTATTAATGCAGGGCAGCACTGCAGGCTCCTGACATTAGTATCCCGAGTCTCAATGAAGGGTCGGCTCTCTGCAACTGGATGTCAGCAGCTCTCTGCAGCCGCAACACATTATGCAATCACAACAAGCTGTCAAAGGCAGAGCAATGCTTCATTCGCCTGTCAATCATCGCTGACAGCTTTGCAAATGTACATTGTCTCTCAGCAGGATGCAAAAACAACGAAGCAGCTGTGTGTAAAGCTCTCCAAAATGAATATGAAGGATGAGATGCAGGCCCGTCTGAGCACCGACACCTGATAAAACTCTGAATCCTGGTATCTGTTACATGCATGTGCATCTCCCCCCTGCACGTGTGTGACTGCAGGAGGGGGGGCGCGACTAACCCATGAACATCATTACACACCAGGAACACAGTGGCTGCAGGCAAATCGATAGCAACACGCATAACCAGCAAGGTACTCACCATATTACAAATGGAGGCGATGTTTCTGACAGTCATTTAGTTTACAGTGTGCCCCTCGCCGCCATCTTTATAAAATAAACATGATTTGAGAGCAAGCCGACGCTGAGAAATGAAGTTAAATCGCAGCCGCGGCTGGAGGCCAGACTGCAACCCCAAGCGTCAGAAAGAGAGAGAGACGCGGAGCAGCATGCAGCAGCACGGAGCTGAACCTCAGAGACACGGATTCATCCTCACACACATCCCATAAACACCTGGAACCCGTTAATGCATGGGTGGATGGTGGACAGACGAAGTTGCAGGCAGCAGGTTGTTAGCAACGAGCAGCAAACAAGAGTGATGTGTGTAAGGAAGCGGTAGCCCCGCCCACACGAGCTGAACTCCGGAGCTGATTGGCTCAGATGTACTGGGTTTGATTGACAGGATCACAAAACCACAACCAGACTTGTATAATAATGTTTGGATGAGCTGCAACCAATCAGCAGCAAGGGTTTGACGCAATGGTGTGAGGGAATTGTAGTTAATTTCTGAGCTAGGTTTAAAGAGATTTTGTAGGCTGTTGTAATGCAAGATGTTCTGTAAAGATATAAAGTGATCAATTACGTATTCTTTACAATTGATCATGTTATAAATACATAGATTATTTAGTTTATACATTTCAGAAAATACTGAAAAATGTAACTATCCTGTAGTTTGAGCCAAGGTTTTGTCTTCAAATTAATTATGAATTAACATTTAATATCATTTTAATGAAAGAGGTCTAAACTTATAAAGATAGATGAGTCAAAAGACAGTTTGAGTCCTTCACTCCCTATAATCTAAATTGGTTGCTTCTCTCCTTAGCACCTTTTTGCTTCTGAAAAAAACAACAATTGTTTGTAAGAGAAGGAATGTGTATATTTGTATATTTTGTATATTGTAAATTCCCAAACAAAAGACAATCTAATCAATAAAACTGTTGGGCACTTGTCATCATTCTTTACATTTTGTAAACTAAATAACTAATTAATCAATTTGCAGGTATTCTCCACTCAAACCACCAATTAGCTGACCATAAAGTAAGTGTCCCCTCTGCAGGGGTCCCGGGGCCCTCAGGACACTCTCATTTATCACTGTCTTTGTTAGTGCTTTCACAACAATCTCCTTGCAATTATCTCCTTAGAATTTACATGTGAACTAAAAGAAAGGAAAACAACAAATAATTATGATTAACATACTTCAAAAGGAACAGGAAAGCAGAGAGAGATAAAAACTATTCACAGTAAAACAAATAACAGAATGACAGGGTTGCCAGTTTGAGGCATGGAGGATGGGAACGTTTCATTGTTCATCAGACGTTTGATATGCGCCATTGGTTTATTTAGACATTTGTTGATTGACGTTTTCTCGCGGGGAATGTATGAATACTTCTGATTGGCAGGGAAACAATTACATAGGGTGGAAGCTTATTTATACAGAACAGACCCAGACTTCATTTACATTTCATTATAGTCTGTGTTAATGGGGCACTGGTTGAAGCTGCTCTTTTCCTGACTCTACTGCTTTTAATGTCCTTATGTGCTTTCTGATGGACGTGGATAATGTCTTCATTGTAAAAACGTTTAAGTTTAACATATGATAAACTTTCATTGTCACCCAGCAACAAAAATAGGTTTGATAACAGCTTCTGTACATCTGCTGAGTCTTGTTGATAACATCTGTTTTATCTTTCTTTTCAGGCTGTGCAGGTCAGTTTATGTGTTGACAGGAGGCTTCAGATGAAAAGCAAAGGTGGGAGAATTAACTCTGTTTATATGAAGTTTTAATCTCTCTCATCCAGTGTGTGATTGCCTCCATGTTTGGATTGAGTTGACAGGACTTTTGTTTCCACAGCACGGTTTTTCATCAGCCAGCAGGTGAACCTCAGAGGACCTTCTCTGCTCAGTGGTTCAGATCAGAAGTGAGGGGGGTTGTTTTGATTTCTATGAGGGTGCACGTGCACTACACACAGGCAGACAAACATAGAGAAAAAAAATAAAACAAGCTCAGAAAATGTTTCCAGTAAACGAGGCTGCCTTCATGACTTCCTGTAGTTCAGAAAAAAGAGGGGAATGAATAATGCACCATTTCTGTACCTCAGAGAAAATAACCCTGCGAACATAATCTGATTCACTGCAGCCTGGAGACATTTGGTACAGGCTTTTGAAAAACATTGCAGAACAGCTTGTCTTTTTCACTCCATCACAGTTGGTATACAGTACATTCCACAGTTTGGATGTGAATCATACATCTTTGTAAAACTGCATAAAACATTCAGTTTTGAAGTGTTAAATGTTATCATGCTGCATTGTTTGAAGTGAAACATGCATGCATTGTTTTAACTTTGTATTACCTTTGCTTATCACTCTTGCTTTCAAAATGTACAATGCCATACTGGTAATCTGAGGCTTCAGTTCACACAGCATCTTTTTATTTATTTTATGCAGTTTGTTTTAGTTTTTTGTTTACGAAGTTATCCAATGCTTTTTTGAACAATGAACATGATACAAGGGAGGCGTGTGGTGCAGTGGCTTGAGCGTTGGTGTTCGGATCAGGGGGTCACAGGTTCAAACCCCACTGCAGTCAGCATGTCGTTGTGTCCCTGGGCAAGACACTTCACCCCAAATTACTCCTGTGGGGATTGCCCACAGTATTGAATGTGTAAGTGTCTTTGGATAAAAGCATCTACTGTAACAAGTAACATGTAATGTAATACCCTTCAGGGAAATTGGAAACAAGTGTGTGTTAACTTGATTTTATTTGATTGCATCTCTTGTTTCAATAGTGGGAAGAACCTCTTGTCTATTGGGTGAGCTCAATATTGGAAAAGTATTGTGGTAGAAATATAATAGCACCTTGGGGGAAGTGTTGTGTTATAAAGACATAATGACCAGATTTGTCAAATGTAGAACACTTTCTCCCAGAGAAGCTTCCAGAAAAGTCTGCTCATGTCAGAGTCATTACCACATTCCTCCAGCACGTAAATGCTCTGCATAATCAAACTGTATCTTGACCTTTAATCATGAATAACTTGAATCCAATCAGACAAGGCATCATGTAACATTCCTCATTTTGCACTCATTAAAACCTTTTAAAATAGACATTGCCTGTGTTTTATCAAAGGAGGTGAGGGGGAAAACAGCAAGAACTTGGCTACAACAGAGAGAACAGGAAGGAGAGGATGCATTATTAGTTATTATTAGCACAGAAACACATTTCGGCTCACATAATGGCTTTAGTACACGCTGTTCCAAATGTTCTGTACCCCTGCGTCTATAAACAATGAGACAGAGTAAGTGAGGGACTGGCACTAGGTTCTATTTGGATGAACAGCAGACTCAACGATATATTGACAGATTGGCACGCTGGGCATCTGTTCTCTTTGTCATTAGTGACCAAACAGGGAACACAGAGAACTCATAACAAAGAAGTAAGACACAGGAAATGATAAACCTGTTCTTGATTGATTATTTTAATCAGCTGATTCATTGTTGCATGTGCAAAAAGGCCGGAAATATAGTTTACCCTGATAACAATAAACTACCCTTAAAGTGAGAGCTGATTATACATATCAATTGTGAATATAAAGACTGATAATGTTTAGGAATTTGCTCCAAACTATTATGAAACCTTAGCAACAATTTCAGCCTTGTGTCGACGTGGAAGTCTGCACCAGCTGAATGTTTCAATCTTTCTCCAATCTTCTCTGTAAAACCACTCAAGCTGCTCGGGGTCTGTGCACCCTGCAGGAGTCTTTAAATCTTCTTCAATTTAATGTTATAACAAATTAAGACATGGAAAACTCAGAATATGAATATTTATTGTATAGGCAATAGTAAAATAAATGCAATTGTGTCCCAGAGCCCAGTGGGATGTCTTGACATTTCCAACTAACAGTCAAAATTAGTACAAAATAATACAAAAAAGGGAGAAAAATTGAAAATCTCAACTTTGACGTCAGAACCATTTAATGCTTGATATTTTCGTTAAAAAAAAAATGTAATCAATTAATAACTGTTGATTTATTCACTTACTCTACTCCAGATTGTTTCTTCATCTCTTCTTGTTGCTCTCTCAAGCTGTATGTTTATACTGTATACACATTTTTTCCACATAACATATATATATATTTCTTATTTTAGCTTCAAGTCTTATGTGTATCTTGCAAATAAGTACATTGGGAGCAAATTGAAAAACCCAGTCCATTTGCCTCCTCAAATATACATGAACATTTAAGCTGAAATGGGATTTTGAAAGTTCAGGTGTCAGAACAAAAGCATATCAAATAGCACATTTTATAATAACAAAATCCTAAAAAACACACATGTTCACACAGAAATGTTCATTTAGGTTCGCAGCGACCTCCCTCTATTGTCCGCCTGAAATATCCCAAAATGCACCTGTTCTGCTCCAGAAACACTTCCAGTAGGTAGACAGCGACAACCGCACAAAAGCCGCTTTGTTCTGGTTTCACTAAGCAGGGAGCAGAGGAGTTCACTGTGACCACCTGACACAGGCAAATGTTAGCCTTTGAGTGAGTGCATGTCATTTAGTCGGTTACTCATAATGCAACCAAATCGATGTAAATCAGTGTCAGTGGATAATAGTGTTTGTCTGGTTATATAAAGCATTAGCCTACTTTTATATGATAATATCCCATAATCACATAAGGAGAGGTTTGCAATCAGGCCATAAATGATTCTGATACTCAAATAGTACCTGTTACAGTTTTTATTTAAATACTAAAGGTGAATGCACATCACGTGACTTTCAATTTTGAACTAAGAGAATCAAATGAAACATAAGAGAACGTGCAGAGAACAAATGCTACAGACCTTTTAGCTTAAATGGGAAGCGATCCAGAAAATGTGTTTGCCATTTATAAGACAACATCCTGCCACACATACACACACGTGTGCACATGTACCATACCCCCTGCATATTTTCCTCATCTCTTTAGCAGCTCCAGAATCCTGAGCAGCCGTTATTCTCCTGTGAAGGCTCACTAGCATCTTGTCCAGATCATGGCCCGCAACAATAGATCTGTTTGTACGACTGGATGTCTACAGTGATGGCTGCAGAAAGCCCTGGAGCCTGACTCACTTTCCAGTCCTGTGAACAGCATTAATTCACTCTGCCAGGTGCTTGGGAGACTGGAGGTCTGCTAGGTGAAAGTACAGCAGCCTTTATCTGCCTTTACTCAGCACAGGCTAATGCTTGAGGTTCGGATTGTAGCTGAGTAAAGGACCTTGAGAGGTTTTGTTTTGTAGAAGAACAGAACAATACAAGTACAAAAGTGTATATGGATAAAGATGCGCAGTACCTCTAGATTTTTTAAC